ATTGTATTGTATGTATTGTACTATTATTATATAATTCGTTACACTGTGGCTGCGTTGTGTGTGTTAAGCTGCTGTTGCACTGCAATTTCCCTCACGGGATCAATAAAGTATCTATCTATCTATATATATATGACAATATGCAGTGGTTCTGGAATAATTGCTTCCAGCTTTTACATAGCAAATTGAAAGTGTATTGATTGTCTGCTAAATATTTCAGCTTTTGCTTATCTTTTATATCTTTTACTATGTAGACAAATGCACAAAGTGCTGCTTTAAACTGAGGATGTATTTAATTTGGATTGAATCTCCATCTGCGTTACTAGTCTCGAACATGCATTCCATAATAATCAAATACATGACCTTAAGTACATCTGTGCTTAAAATATGTTGTCTAATATTTTATAATATTGTGTATTATACATAATACATATTGTTATATATAATATCCATGTATTTTATAATCTCTTATAATCGTGTTTATACCATTTTTCATAATGAGTAATAATACGCTTTAACAATCAAATAAAACATTTAATTACCAAATCAAACTGAAAGTAACAAGTTTAAACGTAGTTTTAAAATATCTGCCGCTAGTAAGTTACTTCGTTGCCATGGAGCAATGGCAAGGTGCAATAGAAGTACAGTTCACAGTTGAGTGATACAGTACTGTTGCTTCTCACGCATTTGTGTAAAGAAATAACGTGTACAGTAAATCACATGAAGTCTTTCACTTTGAAATGCACATAACAAAAACCTTTTACAATATGTACTTAGGACAAACCAAGAGAACAAAGTCAAACACAGCTGCCATTGTTGTGCAGGCAAGCAAGTGTTAAAAATTCTGTCGCTTTTCACCTCCTCCGTGTGAATCAGATATACCGTTATCTTAAAAAAAAAAGCTAACGTATGTTCCTAGAAGATCGGGACTGTTATATATGCAATTGCAATTAAAGAACCACGCCTTCAGCTCTCTCCACTTTCAGAAATAACAGTATTTATACCATCCCCCAGGGCTTCTCGCTGCTCAATCTCTCAGTCCAACCCCGGGACGCCAGTGCTGGCTAAAGTACGCAAATTTGCCGATTTTTTACTATCGCGAGAGAGCCCCCTATCCTTGGTCTGTATGGACCAACTTTGCCAGTTTTATGTGCTACCGTACAGCTAAGGCAAAATTACGACGTGATCCTGAAACGCAAGACTTCAACCGGGGGAGATTGTACTGTATATACATGAATATGGCGATGGAGTACCTCCAATTTTTTTATCTCTGCATTTTTGCAGTGTTATTTTTAACGCATTCAGTCCGGTGTGTGAGCAAAGACCCTGAACCAATTCCAACAGGTGAGAAATGTGTCTTTTTCTCTGTTTTGTTTCTTACATTAACCCTTTTTGAATCTTTTTTTTCCCCTCCACAGACTTGTTCTATTTCAGTGGAAGAGTTCTGAAAGTTGTTAGGAGGAAATTGGCGACCTGTTAATAAATGTGACCGCTTTACATGACAGAGAACTCAAGCTTTAATCCATTATCAGATTTTAAGATTGACTACCGTTTTTATCTGTATGAATAACTCAATTTTTATCGCGAATTTTAATTGCAATAATTTAATCTTTATCATCATATACACATGCCACAGATAACACCACATCGTAACTAATAGCAGTTTCTGGGGTTAACCACTTTGATTTGATTTTTGCAGAATATGACACTTCATACAATTCAGTCATTTTTTTTTTTGTCTGGGAGGTTATCGATGCTATGAAAGATCACGGAACTATTTGTGCTTGCTGAACTTTTATTTGAAGCTTTATTGTCAGAGTGAAACCGCAAACTGGTGGATGAATACGTGTGGGGGGGAAGACTTTCCTTTTTCTCCGGGGTGATTGAAAGATAAAACGAACCCCCTTTTCTTGTGAACAGAGCAAGAAGTGCTAGCCAAGGTATCAATGTCTGGGCATACTCGAGTGCAGTGTGTCCAACATACAGTATAGCTGAAATGTATTCAATACATTATGACCATATACTTTAAAAGCATCATCATAGTAAAAGTACGTCTTGTGGATTACAACTCACTATACTTTTATACTCCTGCAATTACTGACACAACGTAACATTTCTTTTGTCAGACATTAATTGTAACCGCTTGCTAGCATAAAATTATCTGTTCTCAAATAGTACTATGTATTGACCACTCTCTGTGCTGACGTATAAGAACTTAATTAAAAATGTCTTTTACGTTTTTCCATGTAACCCCCTAAACCCAAGTATATTGCTTTAATGTAGTTTTTTAATTAAAACTTTTACAGTTTTTTTCCAGCTTACTCAACAAATTGAATGCATGTGTAAGTTTAAATACACAGTAAATGTTATGTGTGTAACATTTAAATGGGGTGGTCTGTCAGATCAAAATCAATTTCTTTAACAAAAAGACTTAGGCACATTTTAAAAAGAATCCTTTTTAGAAATAAATCCCACTGACATTTTTTAATGGTACAATGAAATGTGTTCTTGGAGAGCTCAGCAAACAGGTATTCACATGATCAGCTTGTACAAATATCTCCATGATGCAAAATATACTATTTCAATGGTTTTGTTTCCATAACACATTCTTTATTCTGTGTAGAGGGAAATAATTAAATATATCTTGATTTAAATGTAAGATTATGTAAAGTCCCTTAAATTATAGACTATTGTCATTTGAATTAAAAGTATGGTCTATTTAAAGACTTCTTTTTCTATGGAAAAACAGTTTGAGAACCAAACATCATTTAGAATGTATGCTCAATTTTGTCATATATACAGGTAGGCTTAGTAGTATCTGGGGAAACAAGGTTTTAATAATGAACCTAACACAGTTTAACTACAGTTTGAGAAATCCAAAACAGGTTGACTTTATGAACATGTTTAAAGTTCTGTGGACTATGAATATCCTTAAGGATGTCACTGAATTGCTTTCCCATTACATCCATATTATTTTAGTAAAACGCAGTGTATTGGTAACATAGGGCACCTTGTAAAACCCACTGCCAGGCTGTAAGTGAATCCATATGTGTGAGTCTGAATCCATATGAAGAGAGTCTACTTTCCATGACTCCTCGTGTTAATACGATGCATGTTTCTGTAGTGAGGATTGCCTGGTGCTGTACTTAAGATTCTGGAGCTCAGTGGACTGGTAGGTTCACGTTCTGTGCTTCTGTCTTTGTGGAACACTAGAATACAGGTTCTTAACCACAGGGCTCTAGAAACAAGGCAAAAACACTACTTAATGTAGGAAAAATGTGTTTAACTATGTTGTAAACTGTTTTACTTAATGAGATAAGCATTTCCCAAAGCCTGATGTTGAGGAAATAATATTTTAATGTATTGAATAATTGAAATGATGATAAAAGTTTATTGAGTAAGTGCTGGTCTACTGTACATCTGCCTCAGAAGGCAAGATGAATGTGCAGTGTGAGCAGTAGTGTGGCTTACATATATATACAGCAAACAATAGTTAGTGTCAGGTTCCATTTATTTGTTATGTGCAGTTTTCACAGAACCATATATTGATTGTGTTGCTTAAAAGAAAACAGCCTGTGTTGTCCATAGTTACATAACCTATAATCTGTAAATACTAGGTATTCTCCAAAGATATAATTTATGACAATGATATGTTATCTTAGGCAAACCCAACATTTTGAAAATGCTTGTCAGGTAACAAAAGTTTTTCTTTTTCCTTAACAACAGGTGTTAAAGTAGTATGTGTTTTTACAGGAATAGAAATAAATAGCTCACTGGCAAATCAAAATCAGTTTTCGTTTTGCAAAGCTTGTAATGTTGATAGCCCATTAGGCATGCCTCAAGAACTCTATGTGCAGTAGAACAATATAGTACCCAAAACATTCATTCATTAGCAATGAATGGAATACTTTTAGTCCAGGTTTAGAGATGGTTTTTGGAGATCTTTCTCTCTGTGGTATATGACTCTGTATTGGTTGTTGGGCTGATCAACTTTTACTGGGATCAGTATTTTTGACAAAATAGATTGTATTTCCTTTTCAGTTATTGATTAGGTAATTGTATAAAAGCTTTGTTTACCTGTGTAAAAGCATACCAAACATATTCACAAAAATATTAACTGCACCACAAGCTGAACAGAATGTATGACATACCAAAATACAGGTTTGTGAAAAGTCATGAAGATTTAAATAAATTTGTGGGGGTTTGCATATGATTAGTGCCATCCATGTTTGCCAGGAGACCCAGTGATACTTGTATGACATATCATACAAAACCATAAGTACTTTATTGTGGGAGCTGAGATACTTGTTGAGCATCCTGGAGTTTCTACTGAGAGTGATATTAACCTTCACTACATGTAAGGTTCATAGTTTCCATAGATTATTTGTTTCAGAGTTATGTTCGAGTGAAGTGAGATTTCACTGGCCTACAGAAAAAAAGTTTCAACCATTCTTTTCAATTTTGCAACACTGGAGATTTGTGGTTCTGTTTCAATTCACAGAGAGAACAAGCCCCTTGATTATATGTGTCTTTTCCATCTCTAAATATGAGTAGCCACTAGCCACTAGCCTTTGCTAGTGTATGTTATTTCACATCCACCCTTCCTCCTCCTCACCAGTTTTACAGGACCTCCTGTCATTTCCACAGATAAGCCAGATGTGTGTAAATTCCTCATCCATTACAATAGTCGGTTTTGCAGGGACAGTGTGTTTAGTATGGTACAAAATGGTGTTATTGAACAGAAATTCGAGTGGAGGTCAAATTCTAATGTCACACTTCTGCTTCCCTGCACATAAAATGTTCCCTGGCTTAACATGGCATCTCATGCATTCTCTTGAGCATCCCTCCCTCCACCTCAACATCACTGGTGCAGTAAACCTCCTGGCCCATACCTCCAATAAGGATGAGATGGAGCTGATCTCTGACCAGCACTGTCAGAGTGCAAAGCACACTATCTCTTTATTCCTCAGCTTGTCTTGCCATTATTAGTTTTTGACAGAACAACTGTAATGTTTTATGATAGGATTGTGACCCAGTAATCGTTACCCATACCCCCTAGATATCAAAAGTAAGGCAGTTTTGTCAGTCTCCCATTTAAATGAGACCCTAGAAGTCACTATCAAGTTACTTTCAACCTTTCTTTAAATGGTCTGTGGCAATGCCAGAGATACAGTACGACAGTGAGTGCAAGAGGTTAATGCCATACCTTGTCGGGACTATAAGCCTTAATGAACCTGTACATTTTAATTATGTTCTAGAGATTCTAGAGTCTCATTAATGGCTGTCTTAGAAAGCTGGCTTGTCTTTTGTAGAAAGGCCTGGGATTTAAAACATGCCACTTTTCTATAGTGATTATTTTATGATGGTTTCTTGTGCATGAAACTTGTTTTTAAAGTTGATTTGGAACTCCACTAAATATGTGGAAGTCATATGTGAGACTGTGGTGTCTGTTCTTATTACACTGAAATTAGACTTGTATTTCCTGTAAAACATTTTTAACTTTAGAATGATTCCTGTAAAACTTATTAGATATTTAACACTTTATAAAAAGCTGTAAGGATGTGCTGAGAAGAAAATTCCTAAGAAGTATTTAAAAGTGTGTGCAAATATAAACACTTTTATAAATAACAAGAATATTCTGCTTGACGTCTCCGAAGCAGCTGTGGGCAGTGTGCCAGCTGTATCCCTGTTAATATAAGATCCTGCTGTCTTCTGTTGTGTGGTACTGCATGGGACAGGGCATGGAAAGGTCATTACTGAACAGTATATTTTAATTTTGAAGAAATATTTCAAATGTATAATATTTCTTGAAAAACACGATTCAACACGATTCATACCCAATCTTAAAATCTTATCTTTTCAGCTTGCTGTTCTTTATAAAATAAGTAAAATACCCATGGTTTGTCCAAAGGGATACATGTATTTTGGTTTTGTTTTTTATTGCTGATCATGATGCAGAGTGTGAGATCCATCTTGGTTGACCTCTTATTTTAATAACGCATAGTTGAAGAATTCACATCATATAATTTCATCCTTCTCTTTGCATTTCAATCATCCTGGAGTGAGTAGCTCATTATCAAAGCTACCAGACGAAGGGTCACAGTCTTTCATATCCATATCCAGACAATATTAGTGGTTAGGACTTGCCAAGTTGTGCCTAGTGCAGCAACTTTCACTGAATGTACAATAATGTACACTGAATGTACTTTAATATCTGCATTTCATTAAGAAAAACACACTGTAAACAAGTTGCAGCCTTTTTCTTTTTATGTTTTAAAGGGCTTATTTAGTTTCCTGCATTTGTTTCATCCTACTTTTTACATTTCCTTTATAATGTCTCCAGC